AGTGATACTGCCTCGGCAACCCAAGGTGGGGTCACTATGAGTTGGGTCCAACTCCATAGCATATAACAACAACAACAACAATGGGTTTTGTAACCATGGATGTGTATGCAATCAGATGTTGTCCAAGTTAACATTATATAATCTAGGATTGATCAAACATGCAATCATGATGCATTGATAACTACTAGTAGTTAGAATGCTGATATTGGAAAAAGCAGGATCAGTAGTTGGAAATTACTGATAATTTCCAACTACTGTTGAAATTGGTGATAAAACTTTGCTTGCTGAGAGCAAAGAAGACTTGAAGCACTTATTCATGAAGATCAAAAGCTACAACCTTTAGTATGGATTATACCTCAATGTAAAGAAAACAAAAATCCTCACAAATGATGTTCTGGTTACCTAGTGCCACTCTGACAGGAATATACCACAAATGGCATGGCCTAACAAACAGGAGTTTATTCTTACAATTTGGAGGCTTTAAGTCCAAGTTCAAAGTTCCAGGCTCTAGGGGCTGGGCAAAAGCCCCTCAACCTTGGGGTTCAGCTTGCTTCCTGCTCCTGGCCCATTGGAGCTAGAGACATTTCTTCACTCAGGTAGCTACTGACTGCTGAGGCTAACAACCTCAAGGTTGACAAATACAATGACACGGTCCCAATGTTACCAAACCACACAGCAGGCTATTAATTCAAGTCCACTGTAAGTCCCAAGGTTGTCAGGGCATGACAGGTTGCTGAACGACACAGCTACATGCAGGGTCCAAGCATGCCATAAGCACAAGACTATCCCCAAGGCTTCTCCTTATATGCAAGAAGCAAACCACATCCCAAAGGCAGCTACTCAGCTGCTTGTGGTAGATCTCACCATGGAGTTGATTGCCAGTCTCATCATGGGGAATAACTACCAACAGCTGTCCAGCCACGCAACCAGGCCCAGCCAAGTTGACATACAAATTTAACCACCACAACTGACCAATAAACAACATCATGATAAACAGAGAAAAGATTG